TAATAATAATAATAAAAGTCTACAGAGCTTTTTCCAGTGATAGATTTTGAAATTTAAACTTAAATGGATTTTGTAGGACCAACTTTACGGTCGATTACTACATTAAAAAATAAAAAAAAACGATTATTAGTAACATGGTTAAAAAGACAACAGTGAGTGGCGGAGGGCTGAGGTGTCAGTTTCAAATCTCACCCTTTCGCCCTCGCTCCACTGACAAAGCGTTAATAAGAAGAAACTGAAATTCGCCTGGTGTCTTGCTTAACGACGCGGTAGGAATTAAAGGGTCAAAAGAGTCTGACAGCAGAACGTGTCAATTAGGGCTGACCCCTGACCCGTGCTTTAGCCGGAAGTGTTGGGCTTTGGCTGAGGGGCGCGAGAGGCGGTGACCTTCACCGTGACCCCTGCCCCGTGTCAGCCGGTGTCAGGAGTCCGCGGGGCTGGTTTGCCCCAGTATAGCCTACGGGCACACAGCACACGACCCCTTTTTTACTTCTAAGTTGCCCCCCAACAACAACAACAGCAACAACAACAACAACGAAGAATAAAAAACACGACTAGATATTTTTGCACGCGCCCCATCTCGTTTTGGTTTGAAAAAAAAAAACCTGATTTCAACGTAGATTATACCTGAAAAGCAAGCGAATGATCAACAAAAGCTCATATAACGCACTACTAGTAAAGTGATAATGAAGATTAATTAGCTCTGACCTTTTAACCGTGTAAGAAACCTCAGCCGTTGAAAAAGATCAGGTTTTCTTTGTTGATAGTCCATATTAGCAGCCGCGGAGCAATCAGCGCGCCAGGCCCGTCTCGGACATGCGCAACGGGCTCGTATATGAATCTTGATGGACACACATTTCGAGATCATGGCATGTTAAGAGCAAGTTGCGTTTTCTTTCAGGCAGCAGTCTGTAATCAGCGGGAGCGACCTGCCATTAAGCACAGTTCAGCGCTCTGCTATTTCAGGGGAGAGATGCTCAGGGAGCTTCCCGAATACTCGGGTCGAGGGTTCAAGTCCCGCGTGGGGCGCTGCCGTGGCGGCCTTAAGCGAAGTATTAAGTATTAAGGGGGGCGGGCGAATCACCGACTGGTACTGCGGGAACAGCGAGCAGCGCCTTTCGAACGTGGGCCGTGAAGATCGCATCTCGCGATGCGCGAGTGGCGCGGGAGAGGCCCTCGCACGGGCCGGAGAGCAGCTCGCTCCGCCGCTGCCCGCCCTCTCACGCTGTGCCCCAGCGGAGCTCCGCACTGCCCAGGGTTTCAGAGAGGGTGACGTCAACGTCTGAGCCTCGTTCGGAGCGCTGAGCCCTGTTCGACGGGCGCCGTGAGTCAGTGTGGAGTCGCGGCCCAGTGGAAACATCGACCCACAACGAGAGCTGCAGTAAATATGCCATTAAATGAAAACGGCACTACCACACAGGAAGCGTTGCCCCGGGGACCGCTCCATCTTTCTTCCTCGTGGTCGATCGGGTCGGTTGATTTGATCTGGTCGATCTCGTAATCTCATCGAGACGATCGTGTAACTGGTCTAGAAGAAACAGCCTTCCCTTGTTAGGCCCTGCTAGGCGCAGTCAAGGAAGGGGGAAGGGGGTTTGTCTCAAGCCGGGTAAATTAATACGAAAACTGACAGGCAGCTGCTTTAAAAGTCACGGGCGTGATTTATTTTATTTATTTTTTTTGCGTCGAGGAGTTGAAACACTTCGTTTCCTCTCTACAGGCCCGTGGCCGTGTCCCCCTGCTGCCGCGCCTCTCAGGGAGGACGGACAGGTGTGGGGGTCGGGTCGGGTCGGGTCGGGTCCGGCACGCAGAACCGGCGGCGGGTCGGTGCCGCCTGGCATCACGCGAGGGGAGTGAGCGCGCTGCTGCTTGTTAACTGTAGAACAAACCACGTCCGCTGGTTTTGCGGTCCGTGTTCTTCCTGAAACACCTTGATTTATTTTTTCTCTTTGCTTTTGCTTTGCATCAACTGGCTATACAAAAAAAAACATTTTCAAATCCTGTGCATTTCCGCTGGTTTTTTTTAACGATTACTTATTCAGTTTTTAAAATATATATATATATTAAAACCGAAATGGAGGCACTTCTCTGAGACGTGTTTTTTTATGTTTGATTTTCATCCGTTTTTACCTTCGTGGTTTCAAAGTCAGACGCTCGTTTGGTGTGCGTGTCGGAGTCGGCGCTCTGCTGTTCTCCCGAAGTACAAACAGGGTTGTGTTTGAAAGTACGTGTTGTAATAATTAGCACGCCACGTGAAGTGCAACTGCTAACGTGAAACTTTGTATCTGTCATAAACTACTTCAAACCCCAGTGATAAACTATAGCCAAGGTGGTCAGGTGGTACACCATGGATTGAACCCATAAATCCTGTAAGGTTTGCTGGGATTTACGATGCCACTGCTGAATACCGCACCGCCACTAATCGTCCCATCACACTCCTGCTCCGCCGCTCTCTGCCTGTAGGTGTGAGATGAATCAGTGCCCATGCGGCGGTCTAGTGTGTATCTGCTGTCTGCGTGTATCTGTGTTGCACGCAGGTTACGAGGGTGTGTGTGACGGAACGCGCTGCGGTGTCGGCCCGGGCGAGAGCGCGCCCATCGCGTGACAGCACAGCAACTGTCGCGGCTGAGTCTCGCCTCAGGGCGGAGAAGGTAGAGGTCGGGGGTGGTCGGTTAGTAATATGGGCTAACCCGATCAGAAACCTCTACGCGATCCACCCAGGCGCCGCCACAATAAATAACGTTTCGTCTTCTGTTTTCAGCGACTGTCGAGATGATGTTTATCAAAATAGCGCATTGTACATTCTCTCAGTACGGTGTGTTGAACAGGCTATCGGGAGGGGGCGCGGTCGGGATAATTACGTCATCAGACTCACGTCCGTACTCGGGCACCGATAAGTTCATATTGGGAGATATTGCGCACTCCGCTGACTTCTCAACCATGGGGAATACGCTAACTAGACACATATGGAATTACCGTTTTCCCTCTGAAACTATTCGCCATAGTAACTGGAAACCGTTGCCTTTTGGACGTTCAAGTCGCTGTTTCTGATTACTATTGCTTTGGCTACTAGTACTGTTAAAGTACTGGGAGCTCCGAGGGTCTGCACGAGGGGCTTCATCTTGTTTTTTAAAAAAGTGGCGGTTTCAGTGTGCGAGCGCGCGAGTTGCAACGGCCCTTGTTCGTCCCCACCTCGGTCCCAGAAAGCGAGAGTCGTTACACTGTTGAATCGTCTGGGCTGTCAAGAGTTGTTTTAATAACCACGAAAATCAATAGATACAGCTTTCACGTCACATTTAGGTCAGAAAATGGGGAACTGTGACTTGGGTGCAGATTTCTCGGAACTGGAAAATGTCGCCACGAAACGACTATGGAGTGTATGAGGCGAGAGTTTCATTATCCCGTGGTTATGTGAACTGTCCTGTGTAGGGGGGGGTGTTTGTGATTTAGACCACAGACGGCTATTGTTTGCAGACTTTTCCCGTTAGGTCTCAACTGGAAAGAGGTTTAGGCGACAGCCGCCGAATATGTAGAGGTAGTTGTTTCACCCATTAATACAGATGTTAATTTACGGTTAGGTTAAAAATGAGCCATTTTTCTTTCTCGCAAGGAAAAAAGTACTGTATATAATACACATGAGTGCTGATGGGAGACTCTGGTGGTGAGATTGATGGGTTTTCTCGATCTAATGTGAGGTAAATAGGGCCTACTGTAAACTATCCCGTCAGTTCGGTTTCTACTGACAGGCGGGGCCTTGTTGACATGCCGACAGCACGACTGCCTGCGAAGGACAGGCCCCTTATCCCCCTGTCTGCTAACACCTGCCCCCGAGTAGTCAAGTCATGTTTTAGCAGCGGAGAGGAGAAGAAAAAAACGCCTCACGCGGCTCTCTCTGGAAAACCCCGGGTTTTTAAGGCTTAGTCAAGGAGCTCTTTAAACTCCCTCCGCCCCCGGCCTCCAGTCCCCGAGACGAGCCCGCAGGGGCGCCGCCGAGCGGGGAGTCCCTCTCTCTCCCTCTCTCTCTGCGGCAGGTTGGGTCAGGCCGAGGGGGATGAGGTCATTGCGAGGCCTCGGTATAAAGAGCGCATTGAGCCCCCCCTCCCCGGCGCATAGCGGCTTTTGTTTGCTTGACGGTCGAAGGTGCGAAAGGAGAGGGTCATCCCGTGTTTTTGTTGTTGTTGTTCCGTTGTTTTCGACTTGTGTGACTCACTAAAAAACGGCGCTTATTCGGTTTAGTTAAGTATTCATTAAGAAAGAAATAAGGTTTTTGTTATGTAAGTCATTCCTCCGCCCCCCCCCCCCACCCTCCATTCTTTCCCTTCTCGAGTACAGAATGTGCTGCTTATTAATGTTTTATTTTAATATAAAAGATCTGGTCTTGGACGACGTAGGCTGCATAATAAAGTTAATAGCAGAAAACCTGTGAGGGAGCAGTTAAACTTATGTATTTCAAAACCATTTGCCTTTCGGAAAAAAAAATCTGTTTCTTTCTTTTTCTCCTTTCTCACTTTTAATTGGCCCTGTTTTGAATCGGAGCCGGCTCTGGTTAAGAGGCCTGGAATGGAACGTGGTAAACACATGTTTGCACTCATACACCATCTGGGCGCATGTTTTCCAATAAGCTGTTCGCCAGTGTTAAACGTTTATTGTCAGTTTCGTATTTGAATGAATAGGGCTGTGTGGCGATGAATTGCTTGGTGCAGAAAAACCTGTCTGACTGTGACTGGTGGTACACAGTGAGTATCTGTACCTCAGACATACCGGCATCGCGATGGCTATTTCTATTGTCGTTGCTTGAAGGACAAAAGACAGGGAGTGTGCGGACAAAAGGGACAGACAGAGCCTATACTGCCAACAGCATAACGCACAAGCATTCGTATCATTGCTCAGTGTCAAAGAACCGGAGAAAAGTGACTTTAAATGTGGTCGAGAGTAAGTCAAGGGAGGACAAACCTGTGTTTTATGGTGGAAGGGAGGAGGGAAAATAGGAGCTGAAGGTGGAAGGGATAGAGAGAGGGGTGTAGAATGGAATGATGGTGTTAAAAGAGAGGCTTCCTGGAAAGGAATGAACGAGAGAGAAAGAACAGAAAGAAAGAAGAGAAATCAAAGACATAAAAGAGGCAGTGAATGCAGAGGTGGGAGGACAGAGAGGAGAAAGCGAAGGGAGTCGGGGGAAGAGGAGAAAGAGAGGGGTGGCAGTGGTTACGGTGGCAGGGGTGGGGGTGGGTGCCTGTCTGTGCTTCTCCTTCCTGAAACGTGGCCACCCCAGCCGGCCTGCTCTCTGGATTCACATGTGGAACAGTTTACTGTAATGGAACTCTAAATTAGTGGTGGTTTGAAGCTGCCTGCAGCGGTAGGGTGTAATTAACTGGCTCTGTGGAAAGAGAGAGACGAGAAAGGGGGGAGGGGGTATGAGTGTGTGCTGGGGCGGCAGTCTCCCCCCGTGGGCACGGTGCCACTCTGTGGCCCTCTTGGTGCCCCCCAGTGCCCAGACCCTGTCACTACAGCCTGTGTGGTTTGTGGTAATTGGGCGGTACAGCCACTGAGCTTTAGGTTTTTATGAATTTTGTTTTTGTTTCGAGTGCACCATCCAGACTTTTTTCTCTTCTTGTTCTTTCCTTTTACACGCCAAAGCGCTTCCAAACTATAAATTCTTTGGCCCTTGTTTGTTTACCGCATTCAACCAGATCTCTGCCGCCACCCACTCATAAAACTGCGCCGGGGAAACTTGCAAATGAGTTGATCGCAACAGAAAAAAGGGTCTTTCAGCTCACTGTATGAGTCTCCTCTCACTGTATGTGAATTTTGCTGATGCTGAAGAGCACATCTAGGTTCCATGACCTGGGCTAGAGTTTAGGGCTGAGGGACTCGGGGGGGAGGGATGGAAACAGTGTGCTAGTCTGCTAGTCATGACAGGGAGGCAGTTTAAGAGCTGAGGGAATGAGAGAGAGGGGGACTGAGGGTTTGTGGGTAGAGCTGATGGGCTCAGAGAGACAGAAGGAGGAGGTGGCAGAGCGGGCTAGTGGCTAGATTTCAGGGAGGGGGAATAGAAAGAGGGACTGAAGGAGTTAAGTGGGTAACCGATTGGTCCTCTCCCTTGTGCTGTCGAACCCGAGTTTGGGGCCCTGGCCCGAGGGCAGCTGGGAGGGGGCTGGCTGCTGTGTCAGGCTGGCAAGGGAAACAGAGGAGCTCTTTATTGTGGAGTTCTGGTGATTTAAATCATATGGCATAGCCTGGGATCACAGAGCAATCTGGATTCCTTTCAAAAAACTGCAGAAACAAGAGTTTTCCCTCTCCTTCTCAACTCCCTCCCCCTTTCTCTCCTTTCTCCATCTTCCTCATCTTTTCCCTTCTCTTTCTTTGCCTGTGTCTTTCTTTCTCTCTTGCTTACCTGGTATGCTATCATAGACAAGAGCTGCACACATCTGGCCCATTTCTGGGCTGTGGAAAATCTTCCCTTGTACAAAGGCCAAAACACAGAGGGTGCATTGTTGTTAACTTTTTTGTTGTTCAGTTACGGTATAACCATTGACATTTTGTGTGTTCTTCCATAAACTCTTCTTGTTTTGAAAAGGAGTGCAATTTTCTCATTTAGATGTATTTATTCATCATGTAAAGTGTAAGATCGTTTAAGAACAATAATAACCTCCCATCATCCTTTTTTGTCTCTCCAGGTCAAAGGATTCTACAAATTCTCAAAGAGAAGAAGCTCTGTCTGTTTCTTGTCAGCCCTATCACAACCCCAAACCTCAGGCATTGCTCAATATCCTTTCCCCAGTCTGAATGTCGAAGAAGTACAGACCCTTGGCTTTTACAAGAAGACAGAACAAGGACTGAGTGAATCTTCACAGCCTGAGCTTGCATCAGTGGGCTCTCAGTCCCTGCAGTGTTCCTGCCTGAGATGCCATTGTATACTTGTGGGTGTGTGCCTACATAGACGGAACTACCTAGTCCCTAAGTTAGGCACAGTTACACACACCTCAAGCCAAGCAGTGTCCACAGCCTAGATTTCAGTGATACCTCAATCTCAAACATCTGTGGCTGATGCCAAACAAACCTGAACATTTTAAAACAGCGTAAGCTGCATATTGAGGATAGTTAGCCTTACAGTCCCTGTTTCAAAGCTTTAATTTTTTTTTAATCCATATCTTTTTGGCATCTTTACTCTAAATTTAAATCGCTCTGGGATTATTGATAGGATTAAAAGAAAACCCTCCTGGATACGCTGGACTTTGTGTGAACGTTTGTATTTCCCAGATGAGAGACTGAGTGAGCGCACGTCAAATCAGAGACGGGTCAGGATAGAGAGTGTTCAACCTTTAGGTGAAAGTCGCACCTACTGCTGGCTCCTGCTCCATCACCTGACAGCTTGGCCTCTTCTCCGGGTGGAGGGCCTGTGGGGCGTCGTTTGCCATGGCTACCAACAGAGAGCGTCAAGTGGGTCACATGACCGGTTTTCCACCCGCCGTCTATCCCTTTGCCTTCAACTCCATCCGAAGCCACTCCCCCTTCGATCTCCTGGCCAATGGGAGTCTCTTCGGCAGATTTGGGGCGGACCTCCCCAAAGAGATGGCTGCTTTATGTAAGTTGACTATTACACTGCATAACAATTATCGGAAGATTTGTTATAAATAACTATCTGTATCTAATAAAAACTCCAAACAAACACTAAAGACTTTTGCATCTTATGACCCAGTTCTCTCTCTTTCTTCCTTTACATAGGCACCACCCTGACAGCCTCTGCTGTGGAGCATATGGTGTACCTGTGTTCTGCCTGTTCTCCTGTTCTTTCTCTTCCCCCTCTCTATCACATCACCACCTTTCCTCTCCATTCTCTTCTCTCACCCTTTCTCTTTTTATTCTGGGGTGGAATGGCTGCTCTGTTTCACACCGAGCATCTGTCATGCAGGTGCTCTTTCCTTTAAGTGCTTTGAAATCTTCGGTTACAGTCAAAAGAAAATTGCTGTAGAAACGGAACCTGCATGGCTTTGCACAGAGAGCAGTGTCAAGAAAAGAGACTGGCCTCCTGGCAGCGAACAGACAGGCCAGCCTCTCATTAGTCTGGAAGCAGAAGCAGAACAAGGCTTTCTTTATATATGGGAGTTATGAAGTAACTCAGGGGTGAATGATATTTAAAAAAAATTTTTTTTTTTTAAATCCCCGTGCCGAAATGGCTCCTTAACGTGGTAGAAAGCTGTCATACTTTCCACTGTGGGTCACAGGGGGAGCTGTTGTCCATCAGTGAGAGTCTCACTCAGAGTTCAGGAGCACTTTTTCCATTGTTGCAGTCCTGACAACCCCATCAGAGGCAGAACCACTGTTCCTTTGCCAATTATATGTATTCACAGCCCCCAACACACCTCCTCCTCGAGGAATTCAAATCCCTGTTGTGGACATGTATGGACTAACCTGTTCTTGGAATATAACCAAAAACTTGAAAATGATTATCATTGCATTTATCTCTTTAAGCTAACACTATGTATGTATGGGTCGAGAGGTTCAATAAATAGATGGATTTTTATGATGTGAGTGCTGTGAGGTGTAACGTGGACTGGAGAGCCAGTGCAGATGCCAGCGGGCGCTCGGGGAGCCCGTGGCAGTGCCGGTGTGTCTCCGCGGTGATGCTGTGCCGACAGTGACAGACAAGCACCGGGAGCTGTGCGTGGGCGGCCGATCCCTCTGCCTTTCTAAGTGCTGGGTGTGCCGCAGGCCGGTGCCTCTACCTGCTAATTAAAAAGACAATGCGCTGCTTCAGCAGTAATTGCGCGAGGAATTACACCTCCTTCCGTGTGTTTGTTTCAGCTTTCATCATTATTCTTTATTTTGCCAGAGTTTATGTTGCAAGCTGCCTTTTTCGTAAAAAAAAAAAAGCCATTTAATAGCCCAGCTCGTACGAGTGAACTCTGGCTGCCTTTGTTAATCACAGGGTTGAGAGGTTTTCGTAAGGACAGGCTTCCTGTGCTACAGTCATCTTCTGCTGGTTAAATCCTAGCTCTGGGCGGTGGGTCATAGCTGATCATTTTGATTTAATATAGCGCCTTTTTAAGTCGATTGCTTGTATTCTGCCTGTCCATTCTGGTGTCGGCACCTTCTGTCCCATATTAGTCCCATTATTTCCCATTCCCACCAGCTCTTTGCCATCCTCCTCAGGCCCTTCAGTGTGTGTTATCCCTATGCTGAGTGACAGAAGAGGGTGTGATAAAGCTCCTGTGTTAATTTAAGTGTTGATTTAAAGATGGAGACAGCAGTTCTACTAGGGAAGGTGGGTTTCAAATTTGTTGTTGGGAGCCTCCGCATTCCCTCCCCTAGCATCACTGGATCTTGGCATGTCTGCATCATTTATAGGCAGCTTTGTGCTGCTCAGGTCCATGTTTTAGGGGTGGAGAATGGCGGAGGCTTAGTATCAAAGTTATTATCGTATAGTGCTTCTATATTGCTTTTCTAATTTTAGCTTGGACATCTCATGGTCAGTAACGTGGAGAGGCATACCATCCACAGCAGGGGAGGATATCTATATTTTGATTTCCTAGACCGTTCTGTATTTGATAAAAAAAAAATGTGCACAGAAAGAAATTCCCGCACACACACACACACACACACACACTGTAACCCTCCTTCCCCCCATTTCTCGGCACCTCTCCTCCTTGCCCTCTCCATACTCCTGGCCCCCCTCTCTCCCAATCCCCTCTGGTCAGGACTTGTCTGAGCAGTGAGCCAGTCTTTCAGCTGTCAGTCAATTCCCCTTTCAACCCCCCCCACTGCTTTGGAGTTAATCCTTGCAGTATTTTAGGAAGAAGCTGAAAGACAGCCCCAGGGTTAGGTCTTGGTGTTGAGGAATCTGGGAACACATCCTGCCTGTAAAACACATATATTCATGCACACACATGTGCGCTGTCTCTCACACACACTTTGTTATAACTCGTCTGTATTGAGTTGTAGCCGTTTTTTAAACACAAGTATTCATGGGGTGTAAAAAGTGACAGTGCTTTGGAGCATGGAATTGCTTAAATAGGTCAAACAAATACCATAAATTAAAGAGGTTACAAATGAGTGACCGCACCATATATTTAAACAATGCCATTGGTTAGACTTGTAGTCATTAAGCACAGGGGTGAGTTATAGAGTTCCAATATAAGGGTTTAGGATTAAAGTTCTGATCACAGTTAAGACAACCCCTTGTTAGGAGATGTACTAGGCTTAGAGCAAAGTCTTGAGTTAAGGTTGGGGCTGGCTTAAGGTTCTTCATAGGAATGAGCTGTTGTTCCCTTCGGTGTTAGAATTAGTGTGAGGGCTTGGAGTTGGGTCAAGGTCAAAGAAATGGCTATATGATTTAGGGGTCAGATTAAGAATAGGTACAGCAATGTGGTACCAGCTGGATGTGGGTAAGGGCTACAATTAGGACTAGGATTTGGTTTGGAGTGGGCCTAGGGTTGTGCATAAACGTAGGGTTAGTGCTGCTTTTTAATATTTATTATTACTATTAGGGTAAGTGTTCTTTACTGTTGGATTACAGGTTTTTACTGCCTGGCATTTCTAAAAATCCTTTCCAGGTAATTAACGTGACCCAGAAAATTCAGCTTTGGAAGAAAAATGTAAACACAGCACATGTCATTTCAAGGCAAAATATCAGGTCTTATTTTGCTCACTTTTTTGTGATTTAAGAGTGGGACCTGCCCTGTTGTGGTCAGTGTTTTTAAAGCAACCAGAGTCAGTCTGTAGGCTTGACTTTTGGAGTGCAGAACAAAATGACAAATAATGCTGCGGCCCAAGAATGAAAAGCTGCAGAGTCTTGGAGTGTTCTCTTTATTTTTCAGTAGGCCGAGGCCTCATGCACAGAGAGTAGTCAGGGGCACACCTACTGTGCGTGAGCTGCGTTTCCAAGGAAAGAGCAGCACTGACAGGTTAGAGCAGCGTGCCACAGCTGCACAGTTGGCAGCGTTTTTGGAAATACCTGTTTAACATACAAAGATGGAGACGAGAGAGAGGGTGAGGGTGAGAGGAGGAATGAGGGAAATATATGCAGTCTTTCATAAGATTGTGATCACCTGATCTATATATACTGTGTCCAGTATACACGTATACTTGTGTATGAGTTCCTAAATCATTTTTTTATTTCATTTTGTGTTTGCCTCTTGGTTTCTGTACATATTTTTTCTTGTTATTCTTAAGTTTTCAATTATTTAGTTAAATTCAGTAAATGTTCCTTTATTGACATGTTTTTACAGAATTGACAAAGCTGTTGCTTTGAGAATCGAGCAAAAAAGGGACCAAGAACAACATTATGCAATTCAGTTCTGAATTGCCTGGTCATACAGCTGTGATCAAACTTCTAGCTGTGATCTTTTGTAATAAGCCAGATATTTATAGTGTAATAAATATTTCCCACACCAGGTGCACTTGTAGGAGTCAGTTTGACCCAGGCATGTCATACTTCCATCATCTAGTTACAAATGAAAGGGACAATTTTCATCATACATATTTTATAAGGCCTCTGTAGTTGTCTCCGTGCCACACTGTGAGTGCGTCATTATCCATTAGTTGTGTTTTGCTTTTCAAGCTTTTTGTTAGGTATGGGCTTTTCACAGGGAGTATATATGCGTTTGTGTGTCTCTCTTTGCAGGAACATGTTTTTAGGCAGTGAGTGAGAGTTGGTGTGTCTGTGTAAGCAAGTGTCAATGTGTCTATGTCAAAGGCTGTTATCAAGTTGCCCCCTGTCATTATCTGAGCTCTTCAAACAAACAGCTGGAAGCCCATTACTGCCACTTATGATGAGATAACATCTGGACTGAGCACTTTTTAGCTTCTACTGGGGGTGCCGCAGAGGGAGTGACAGAAAGAGGGGGAGGTAGAGAGTAACTCAAATAGTCCTGGGTCATATTACACAGCATGAGAAAGAGAGAAAAAAGTGGACTAACCTTTAAAACGTGACCCCACACACACAAAGCCTGAAAATCTTGGGGCCCATACTCCTTATGGATTACCTCTTGAGAATCTGTAAGGAGTTTTACCCACAGATCCTGAAGGATATCTGCCTGTGCCCTGTAGTTTGTTTTCTGAGAATCCTGTAGTTTTAGTTACAGTCTTGTGATTGAGGTAAATATTTAGTGAAAATCTAATCAATCTCATTCATTTGTTTAAACTTTATGATTTTTTTTTTAGTAAGGTTATGACCCTAGATTTAAAAAAGAAGCTGTAGAGCACAAAGTAAAATTAATAACTATACCTGTTGAGTCTTGTCTTAAAGTCTTCTGGAGCACTGTATTGAAGGTTATATTCCTTTTCCTTTTGCACTTTACTGCCCCTATAGGACACTAAAGAAACTGTCGCTCGGTTTAAACACAATCTTAAATAGAAACATACAGTCAAGCAGACACACATACAGACATGCCAACACAAATATATTCACACACACACACTCCATAATTAAAAACACACACAGATACATACGCACTGAAATAATCACACAATCCCAGGCACGAAACATTCTTTTACTCACACTGTCGGATACGTACACTAGTACAAACACACACTCTCTGACCCGCAGTCACACAATTAGACACACAAAAACTCTCTCACACAGGG